ACACACACACACACAGACACACACACACACACACACACACACACACACACCCTGGGCCCTACCTATCATTCTACTGTGAGGACATTCAGAAAAGAGCCAGTGGGCCGGGCATGATGGCTTACACCTGTAATCCCAGCACTTTGGGAGGCTGGAGCAGGTGGACCACCTGAGGTCAGGAACTCAAGACCGGCCCGGCCAACATAGCGAAACCCCATCTTTACTAAAAATACAAAAGTTAGCTGGGCATGGTGGCACGTGCCTGTAGTCCCAGCTTCTTGGGAGGCTGAGGCAGAAGAATTACTTGAACCCAGGAGACAGAGGTTGCAGTGAGCCGAGATGATGCCACTGCACTCCAGCCTGGATGATAGAGTGAGACTCGGTCTCAAAAAAAGAAAAAAAGTCAGTGGTCCTTTTGTCCTTCCCCTCCCCCCCACCGGGCTCACAACTTGAACTTACCCTTTTAGATCTTACCACTCTAATGGCTAGGAAAGGTAAATCCAAAGGAAGAAATGGAATAGTATTTACTTGAGACCCAGGTGGGAGATGGACCTTATGTACTTTCCAAGGCCAGGTTTCTCCCAAGCTAGAGGCCTTCACAGGCTTGTTTTACCACCATCCCATGAGAAAAGAATGTTCTTAACTGGAGAACAAATCCCAGGGTAGGAAGAAACTGCTATCAGCTGAATATTTTTGTCTCTCCACAGTTCATATGTTGAAACCTAATCTCCAATATGAGGGTCTTTCAAGGTGAGGCCTTTGGTAAGTGTTCAGAGCCTTCATGATGGGATTGCTGCTCATAAAGGAAAGCCCAGAGAGCCTTCTTCCCTCTTCCGCCATGTGAGGATATGGCAAAAAGGTGACCAGCTATGAACCAGGAAGTCAGCTTTTACTAGCCACTGAATCTGCCAAAGGCTTGATCTTAACCTTTCCAGCCTCCAAAACTGAGAAGGTTCTGTTGTTTATAACCCACCCAGTCTATGGTATTCTGTTATAGGAGCCATAAGAAACTAAGAAAATCTAAAAGGGATGTGGCCCAGTAAACAAACTCATTCCTTCTTATTTGTTTACATCTAAAGCTACAGTTTAAGAAATGATCAACACAAAATCGAGTATGTCTTAGAATTTAATAGCTAGGTGGAGCTTGAAGATCCCTCGCCCTTATTTTAGAGTGAAGAAGCTGAGACACCCACAGTGAGAGCTGTGATCATACAGTTAGGTAGGTATGGCCCTGGTGGCAGACCTGGGAGTAGCCCCTCTATCTGGTTCCAGTGTGGTGGTATTTCTCCACTGGATCACATTGTTTAAATTTATACACTCGCTTTAACATTTGCGTAGCCCTCAAGGGGGGAAAAAAAATCACAGTTTTAATAACCATCTGTATTCTAACTCAAAAATTGTTCTAGAGAACCAGATTCAAACCTGCAGAACAAGAATGTAAATTAAAGCTCATTTAAAGTGAAAGGCTTTACGTACATGATTGATAGAGAAGATTAATACATACCACAAGACTGTGTTCATGAGAATGAAAATAGTTCAGACCTTTTCTTCTGAAGTTTATCAAGATGTAGTGCTTGCGTTATTTTTTATTCATTCCAAGTTATAGTTTATGACCGTATCAACTTCATCTCATTGAAAAGAAAGCAAACATCACAAAATAGTAAGCACCTCTCTGCAGAGCTGCAAGGATATGTTTTAGTTGAATAATTTGCTTTAAAAATATTGATACCTAGAAGAAAGTTTAAAATTGCTATCTTAGTATTTTCTAAAAACAAAAATGCATACCTTTAACAGATCCCTGAACAGCTACTTGCCTTAGAACCAGAATGTGCTAAGCCTTTCATGTGGCCCTCCTCAGATCCGGCAGAAATTGACAGAGAGTGGGGTGTCTGTGGAATGCTTTCATGTGGTTGTGCTGTTTAGACTAATCGTCATTAAGACATCCACATTAATAGCATGGACTTGTAATTATCTAATTTAAGCAATTTAGGGATATCATTTATTTCTCTACAGGACTGAGTATCTGCGCCCCTCCCCTGCTGCCTGCACACCTCCCAAAGGGTCATGTCACCTTTGTTTCCCAACCCTTGTCACCAGCTGTGAAACCTCTATCATTTCCCCTCATGGCTGACCAACACCAGGCCAACCTAAGGAACATGCTGGAGAAATCCAGCAGACTATTATAGTGCAGCCCTGGAGCAGGGGAAGGGAATGGGTTAGAAGTGGTGACTTGGGGGTAATTTCCCTAGAGGTCATGGCTGAGACAGTGAATATAACCAAAGTCAGTCAGCGGGTGACAACTAAAGACAGAATCGTGGGGGACCTATTTAGAGAGATAATGGAAGAAAACATCTAGGAAAAGAGGCTGCCAAACCTGGCAATTTGGTAACTATGGGACTTTAGGTAGCTTCCTTCATCTTTCTAAGCTGAGCTTTCTTACAGAATGGAGATATTAGCACCTTCTGAGGTGGTAGAGGTGACTCAACGAGGTCATGTACATAAGCATAGGGACATTTAGTGCCTTTTTCCTCCCAAAGGAAAAGAAACAGTAAAAGGAGTGCCACAGTTACCTTGGAAAGAGATTTCAAGAAGGAAGTGGTCATGGGAGGGGCTGTTGGCCGTAAAGGATGAGAAGAGGCCTGTCAGTTCTGGGGCAGGAAACTCCCTGCAGTCGCCAGTGTGGGTCTCCACCATAGTCATTGTCTCAGATGTTGAGAGACGAAGTGTCTGCGTGGGAGTAATACAGCTTCTTTATGAATGATTTTTCTTGTTTTATGCAATACTTTTTTTTTTTTTTTTTTTTTTTTTTTTTTTTTT